CAGCTGAATCCAGAGGTGCCTTCCAACCTCAAACACTTTGTGACTCTGTGAGTGGTACCAGTAAAGGGTGATGATGCTGGCCTGTAGCAGAGCTAATCATTCATGAGAGGGCTGTGAGTGATAAGCTCTGCAGCTGGCGCAGCTGGTGCTAAAAAACATCATATGATGCTGGCCAGCATAAAATAGAAGGTGTGTCCAGTAGGCAGATCTGTCGCAGTAGGTTTGGCTTATATCTCAGAAATGTTTAGAGATTGATGTACACCCTAAAGCATCAAGATTAATATTCCTTCCAGACTAATTAAGACTGTATATTTTTATAATTGCCTACATCTCTGATTGCAGGGAAAGTCCATGCTTATCAAAAACTCATCCATAATTTCATTATCCACAGTGTGCCTTGTAATTAAGTTTTTGGTAGAACACAGAGAAATCTCCCAATCTGTCATCTTTGTACTGTTCTTTTAAAACATGTTGACTTTCATTTCTATCTTTTGTGATGTAAAAACATAATTCTTTCACTCTGCCTGGATATATTTCAATCTGATCTGTATGAAATGTAAACATACACATCTAATTAAGTACATGCATAGAAATTAAATTTTTCCATTCATTTTTTCCTAGTTTCATGTCATGCAAAGATTCAATTGGAAAACAGTTAATGAAAAAAGTCAGGTGTTACTTTCCATTTAACCTGGCTATACTGCTGTATTATTTGTACAAAATATGATAATAGATATAGTTAATAGGTACCTAAATAATGTTAATGACTAACTTATTTTGGAAATACAGTCATTAGCCAAGTTACTCTTAAAAGTCTTGTGACTGTGAAAGCTGTCAAATCCCCTGCTGCTTGGATTTTCAGAAAGCACAGCTGGAGAAAGAAATGGATTCACAAACTTTTCTGCTCATAACTTCACTTTTGTCTACACTTCCAGGCCTCCAGTGACTCCACTTTTGCAACTGTACTGTTGTCAGGCTTGCAGCCCCATTGTGATCTCTTTGATCCCTCAGTTTAGGAGATTTATAAGATGGGAAAATGTTACTGGTTAGTGTTTGGTGGGGGAAGATTTGGGTTTATTTTCTTAAGTGGTGCAGGCACTGTCACTCAATCAGTGTTCCATGCAGTTGGTTTGGGTTTTTTTCCTCCTGTTAAACAGCATGTTTATGGTGAGCAGCGTGGGGACTATTGCCCTCTCCAGAACTGAGCAAAGTGCATCAACCCATACCACTATATGTGAAAACCTTTGCCTGATATCAACTCAAGAGGTTTTCAGGGACTGATTTAACTGATCCTATCCCCATGTTTGAATTAAATGGAATTTGGGTCTTTTCAAAGAACCAGAGTAATGCTGCTGGCCAAGCCCTTGGAATTTAAACCCAATTTGAATAGCTGAAGATATGTAAAAGCAGTTTTTCCCCTGTGTGCATATTATGTATTTTTAAGTTGAGCCTAAATGTGCAAGAATATTTTATTAGCTTCACAGATAGCGGTGTAAGAATCAATTCGATCAGTGAACAAATGATTCCTAATTAAGAGTATAAACTGGAAACTGCAGTAGCCCGTGTTCTGCAATTGGTGAAAGACAAAGTTCAGATCTGAATTCCCTAGAATACCGTATTCATTGAAGCATTGTGCTTTAGAGAGCATTTTATGGAAACAAGTCTTTGACACTGTGCTGACAAGTGTCTTATATAAACTCCCATCTGTCACTGAGCACAGAAGAGTGCATCTCAAATGTGGGCCACGCAGCAGCAGCAAATCAAGTGTCTGCTTTTAATAGTGCAGCAAGAGGTTTGAAGACATTTGATATTTTTATTACTAGCTTTTGTCACAAAATGCAGTCTTTTAAAAAAATGGCCAAATGCCATAATGGTTTAAAAAAAAAGAAAAAGCTCTTGAAACACATTTCATACACTTCCAACCCTTATTTCCTGAACAAACACCCAGGCTGAATCAGGTGTGTGGTATGGATCTGAGGTTCTGGGATCATTTAGATAATTTAGAATAACCATTTTAAGATGTTTCTACTTTCTGAAATGGAAATTCTTTTAGGGCATGTATTTATTTTACTGTAATAGCTTTTCTTAAGCCATTGTCGCAAGGGTAAGTACAAGTGGCTACAGCAGCTGAGGTTAGTTACAGGTTTTGGATCACAGCTGAGTTATGATAAAGGGTCTATTGTATTTTAAATGTGTTGGTTTCTATTATTTACAATTGAAACAGAGGCAGAAACCCACTGATGATGGCTGGAGGTGCTGGAGGGAAATCCTAATGTTCCATTTAGTCTAGGAGTTTAAACATAATCATTTGTCACAGTGAATTTATTCCTTCCTAAGCAGTACCTGGCAGGTGTGGAAGAGTTAAAGAAGCCATCCTAAGAACTAACTGCAAGGATAGAGTACTTGCTGATTTATTTTCTCCCCAGTCTTCCAAAGCTTTGTAACTTCTATAATGATGGAAATTCCTTTATTTTGTACTCTTCTCCCACTGATTGCATAGTGGGCTGCACTTAGGGATCTGAGCCAGGTGCCAGGAAGGGGATTTAACTATCCCTGTGAAATGGGTGTCTGCTGGTACAAGGGCAGCAGACAAAGCACTAAGCATGAGAATGGGGCATAATAGAAGCCTGGCTTTGGCAGTAGCCTGTGCTTGTACCAATTCATTTGTACAATAAACTACACTTTGAGGGATCTCCTGGCTGGCAGGTTTTGCTCTTGCAGCTCTCCAGTGCATGGTAGCCGGCATCACTTACACCTGTGCTTTCTTGGGTAAAAACTCCCCCTCTAGCTATATTCCAGAGAAACTAATTAGATGGTTGCCTTATTTAGAAGATCTTTTAGCTGCTCAGGTTTTTTTTTCCCCCCTCTTCTTATTTTCTGTTGTTAAGAAAAACAGGTTGTAATCTTTTTAGCTTCATGGAATATTTATGTCAGTCAAACACATTAGCCGTTGGGCATAAACCAACCCAGCAAACTGTATGGTAAGGGAACATGGTTGCTGAGATGGGTAATTGTCACCAATCGTTAAGCAGCTGGAACACGTTATTTTTTTTTTAAATTAATGTGTACCTTGCAGTATGGAAAGGAGCAGCAAATCTGACAGTTGTGAGCTCATTTACTAAAGTTACGTTTTGGTTACAAAGAGGAAAAGGAGAAAGTATCAGAACAATTTTATGTTTTGCAGATTATCAGTAAATGTTAGCAGTTTGATAGAAAGCAAGTAATTTACAGTTCACAGATACGGTATTGGAAATTATTGTTGCAACTGTGTGATGCAGAAAAGAAGAAACCCTGGATAGCAAAATACATATAAGCAAGGCCTTTATTCGTTCTTTCCATTTTTTTTTTTTCTCTTGGAAAGGGCAATTGCCTGTAAGTGTCAGACTGCTGACCACAGTGCCAGGACAACACAAGTTTCCATGAAGACATTCTTTCCCCATTGGGTATCCTGTTGTGATACTGCAAGTCATGCCAAAATGTTCCCACATTGTCCTGTGGTCTGTCTGCTTCTGTTGGTGTAGGTGATTTATGGTTTTGAGAGTTTTCATGTAAATTATGTATTTTATTTATATCAGGCAATGGTAGTATTTCTTCCTTGATGTGAAAGCAATTGTGTTGCTTATTAAATAAGACAATAAAGAACCCATCTGGTCTCTTTCCAAAACCTCTGTGGTAGCTGACTCACATTTGCTATCTCTGTAGCCAGGTTTGGGAGATACTTGTGCTGTTAAATGTGCAAGTTAAGCACTCTTCCAGTGCTTCCATTTCTTACACTGAAATGTTGGCAGTTTGGAAATTGGAAGTTTTACTCCTAGGAAAAAAAAATTTAAAAAATATTTGCTTTTATTTTTTCTCGAAAACTCAGAAGCTGAATTGAGACTGGTTGTTCAGTACCATTAGGGGAAGAGCTTGAATGCTTAAATGTAAGAAATATACTTTTGATAAATATGTCTGTCAGATCTCTGACCTGTTGCTTTAGTCTCATAAAATAAAAAAGTAGTTAGCAGAGGACTTAACTATCCATTTTGAATATATTAGTGAGTATGTAGAAAAGAGGTCAAATTAAACATTGTTAAAGATTTTTTGTAAAACTCTCTGTGAAAGTAAAGCAGATTATTGAGAATTTGTTTGTACTGCTTGTTCCAGAACATTTCAATACAGAAGTAAACAAAAATAAAATAACATTATAAATATGCGGGAGTTAATGCATAAAAAATAATTTGCATAAAACCACAGCCTTCCAAATTTTTTTCTTGCATTTATCTGTATACAAGCTTGCCTGTTCTTTGGTGTGTTCTAACTTCTAATCATTTTTCACATTCTTATTTGTATGAAAGCTTGTTTTTGCCCCTTTGCACACAATCTTCTCCATATTTGCATGATCTGATGTTGTCCATAAATAACAGTTTTCATCTTTGAAAAATGTTTCTCTTACTTACGTGATTTTATTATTGATACTTCAGAATCTATACCCATGTTATACAGACTAATTAATTACAATATATATACAAGTCTGTTCAGTGTAAAGGATTTCTCGTAGATTATTTCTCCTCACAACTAATGTTTTGGGAGTTTCTCCTTCTGCAAAAATGAAGTCTTGAATTCAACAAATAACAATAATTTTGGTATGAATGGGATCCTTACCTTTCTGTGTTGTAGCTTAACAGACCTGCCAGGTGGTTGTTTGCTTTTTTTCTGTGCATAGCTAAATTTTAGGGATTAAAGTTTCCATGTATAGTTTTTCCTCCAGCATATTAGTACTTGAAGTGCTTTCATACTCAAAACTTAACATTTTTTGCCCAGCATTTAAGGTACGCTTTTCAAGAAAGAGAAATACATTCAAATAGTGTTTCAAGTTACTTTTACAGTATTACTATTCAAGTCATAAAACATTCAGTAGAATACCCAAACAACCTGATACAAGAGATGTCAAAAATTAGGCTGAAGTTATACTTGAGAGTAATGCCATCGTTCATTTCTTGACTCCTTTTCATTGGCAGAACCTGAAGAAGATTCAGGAAATGGACAAAGAGGGAAGTGATGAATCCAGCACAGATCTTGATGACTTAAAAAATGCTGACTGGGTAAGACAACAATTAAATAGTGATTCAGCATCATTACTAGTAATTTATATTTCTTTATAAAGCTTACTTAAGGTGTCATTACCTCCACGCTCATGAAATCCCACCTGAAACACTGTATCCGGCTCTGGGTTCCCCACCATAAGAAGGACATGGACCTGTTGGAGTGAGTTTTGAGGAGGGCCGTGAAGATGATCAGGGGGCTGGAGCACCTCTCCTGTGGAGACAGGCTGAGGGAGTTGGGGTTTTTCAGCCTGGAGAAGAGAAGACTCCAGGAGACCTTACAATACCCTTCCAGTACCTAAAGGGGGCCTGCAAGAGAGCTGGAGAGGAACTTTTTAACAAGGGCCTGTAGTGATAGGACAGGAGGAATAGCTTTAAACGGAAAGAGAGTAGATTTAGATAAGGTATTAGGAAGAAATTCTTTACAATGAGGGTGATGGAGCACAGGAACAGGTTTGAGCAATCTGATCTAGTGGAAAGTGCCCCTGCCCAATGCAGGGGGGTTGAAACTAGATGAGCTTTAGGATCCCTTCCAACTCAAACCATTCTATGGTACTATGTTAAAATCAGTCTCTGTTCTTTTTTACCATATGAATTAATAGTAACTCACAACAAGTTAGAACCAAATGAGTCTGAACTTTCATTTCCTGACAGACAAAACAATAGAAGTATCGAAGCAATACATTTCCTTTAGACTGCTTTCATGGAGAAGGTTTTGCAATTTAAAAAGACTGGATATTTAGACAGGAATCATGCTGACTCCCCTTCAGAGGGGCAGCCAGGGAGTAGACAGAGCCGCCAGCTGAGTTTCTCCAATAATGAAAGAAAAAGGTTACAGGGAAACTCTTAACCAGGAAGTAGCTTGTTTTATTTTCTAGTTTCTATTCCTGCCAGTTCATAGATGAATATTTTGAGGTTCTTTAAAGGACTTGATTTCAATTTCCCAGTCTTCTATCCACCACTTTTTTTTTCTTCTCTCCAGCCATTCTGCTTCCCAGAAAATGAGAGGGAAGTGTTAGTGTGTGTTGCTCTTACAGACAAAGCAAAAGGAAGTTGACTAGTGAGAAGATATTGCTGGACCTTAGGATTTGGAGTCCATTCCAAAATTTCTGTTTGAAGAACAACTACTGGGAAATTTTGCAACGAAGTTCTGGGCAACAATGTTTCAGATTCAGTCATTGTTTTAATTTGCGTAGTATCAGGTATAAGTCTAAAAACTTTAAAGGCATGCTTGCAGTATACTTGAAATGGGAATATAGATGTAAGGTATGAGAATTTCAAATTCTTTTTCTGTGCTTGAGGTGAGTCTACTGAGTTGCAGCAAAGTTTTGTTACATTCACGAGTGTTAAAAATAGGCTTATATAAAATAAAATGGGTTTTGGTTGATTTGTTAAAAATAAAATAGTACAGCTGTACATATTTGGTGGTGCCCTGGAAGGAAAACGAACAACTTTGATTTAATGTGAGTTGTTATTAAAGAGTAAGATATCAAATAAAATTTCTCTCTCTTTTTCCTTAAGGCTCGTTTTTGGGTGCAAGTGATGCGAGATTTACGGAATGGTGTTAAACTTAAGAAAGTTCAAGAGCGTCAGTACAACCCACTCCCAATAGAATATCAGCTCACACCCTATGAGATGCTGATGGATGATATTAGGTCCAAACGCTACACCTTAAGGAAAGTCATGGTAAGTCAAGAGAATCACTAGAATTTGTCAAATCTGAAATGTTCTTTTCCTTCTTTTATCTTCTTCTTGTCTTCTCTTCTTTTTCTGAGAATCTTGAAATTATTATTTCTTATAGATACTAATGTTCATGGTTTTAAATGGCATCTTAAATTTTCATAGTGCATTGAGAGGGAAAACATGAAACCAACACATGTAGTGTATTTTGTTTTCCATGTGGCAGGCATTTACGATTATGAAAGACGTGCCTGTGCTTGAACAAATACCTTGCATTGCTTTTGTGATAACCTTAAGAGTCATCTAAAAAGTCCTGTTATGCTTTCCACTGAGAGACTGTTTTAGACTTTTCTCATTGGAGAGAACATTTCTGTTGATTCACAATATAGTTTTTGGAATTCCAGAATGTAAAGTGCTACCATGAATGATAGTGCGATGGGAAAGGAAAACCTACAGGGGTTGAAAACTTATATTATCTATTGCCTGTATCACAGTGCTTGAAAACTTATCAAGATCTGTTATGAATTTTCAAGGAATACTCAATGTAAAAAAAATTAAATCTTCCATTTTTAGAAGTTGAGCTCAGTTATTTTCAGCATATTCTACTGTTGCTTTCAAGTCAAGACAATAAGCCAAAGCAAGCTGGAGAGTGTTCATGGATCTCCTCCTCCTAGATTCTCATAAAGGTGCTTGTAAGATTGACTTGAGGCACTCTTTTTATCAGAACCAGTTTGATATTTATTGGTGTCTCCTGTTCTTTCTGTCCTTTTGGGTTATATTTTTTTCAGCATTAAGTTCTTCCTGATAAGCTAGCAATCAATCTAAAGGGGTCCTTACCTCTAGAAGGACATTTTGTATCCCTTTTTCAGAGGCATGTATTTGGTCAATATCAATATTTATACCTTGTATTTACTTATCTTCCCCTGTCATTAGTTACAATGGAAGCATTGTCTTAGAATATTCAGTGTTCAGATGTATTTCCTTTCCTGACGAATTCTCGCACAATCTTTGATAGTAAGAAAGCCGTGATTCCATGAGAAAAAAAATCAGAGGGGAGGGAGTGAGACAGATGAGAGAGACAGAAAGTGTGTAGCATAAATGCCTTCTATGTTTGAGCTGAAAGTACTTTTCCAATCGAGATCTGGATTTAGACTATCTGATTGTATTTATTTTCTGCAGCAGATGTGGCTTAAATGTTAAATCAAGAGGGTAAAATAGAAACCCAGGTAATGGTGTTATCTGTCTTTCCCCTAACAATCCAGAGAACTGTGCTAAGTGTTCCTTCTACCTGCTGCAAAAGAGGAACAGTCCCCTCAGGACCTTGATTGCTGTATGCAATCAGAATAGTTGTTTTGTTTGAATGGGAACCCCTGGGTCATCTAATTTTGCTTTTGTCAGACTAGCTTTTAATTCATCTTCTGCTAAGCAAGCTCCTGCCTCTTCAGAAAAGATTTTCTTCGTTATATGGTATGTCTTGGAGGCACAGCTGCTCCTCTGCTCATCCGGGCTCTCACTGTGTACAAAATCCCTGCAAGGATCTATTTTTGGCCTTCTGTCTTGTCAACTAGATAGATTGTCAAAGTGAACTCTGGGCATAAACATGAATTGGGATTACTATCTGCTGCAGGTGCAGTACCTGTAGGACTGTCTGTGGTGCAATTGCTGGCTCAGTCTGTCAACTGCTCCTGACATTGTGCTGGAAAAATCACTTCTTTCTTATTGGAAACCTTAAATTCAGTAACTTGAATCCTGCTGCAGGGTCTACTTGAAGACTGTGCAAAGCATGTTCAATAATAAGACTGTAGTTTGATATGGAATGTGCAGAGCCTGAAGGATTCACATAGAATTACAGGTTTCGTTAGATTGCATGCATACAGCATCTTTTAGCTGACTAACATGGGTCATAGCTGATTGATTATATGTATTCCCATCAGAGAAAACCATTGTGGTTCTTGAGAAGAGGAGAAAAGGACAAGAATCTTAAGTCTTAATTTTTAGGCAGTCTAGAAAAAACGGATTATGTTTCTTTCTATCAATCAAAATGGATGTTTGGCAAAATTTTTATTGAAAGCAATTTTTGCTTTCAATTTATAGGTAGTAGTTTTAGACTTGGTAGCTTATGAAAACACATATGCTACTAATGAGAAGAGGCTAGTAAATTCTTTAAGTAAGTGAGATGCAACATGAAATCTTCATCGTTCTTTTTATTAATACGATGCTGTGTTTAAAAGAGTAGCTTGATCTTTCCATGACTCCTCAGCACTCTGAGCAAAGATTAGGAAAGGAACAGATGTTCCTATTAGGAAGTATTTTGGTGTTTCAGACTGTCAAAAGTATTGCACTAACAGACAGCAATAACTGGAGCTGCCTGTTCTCACCCACCTTCTGTCATAGTGCAAATATTCAAAATGTTTTGAAGATGCAGAATGTCAGATTCTGGGCTTTTGGTAAATAACTGGTTTAATTTGTTTCAGTGACGTTGGCATTTCTATTTCAGGACATATGAAAATAATTCCGGATTTGTCATCTCTCTATCCGGATGCAAGAGTCCTCGTTTCTGTGATTGTTGTGGGAGAAAGATAGCTTTCATTCTGGCATTTTATGATCTTTAAATATCTACCTGGAGAGATTTAATAGTGTTTTTCTCCCATGGAGCACCCACTCCCACGAAAGTTAAAAACTGTGAACGTGGGTAGAGTCAACATTTACTAATGGAGAAATTTAAGAGTTATATTGCTCTTGCAGGCTTGATTTTTCTTTATTATGTGTATGTGTTGAGCTACAGTTTTTAATTTCACAGTGATTCACAATTAGCTCTCTTCTCTACCCACCTCTCCCCCTCCAAGATGTGCATCATTCGCTATATTTCTTGAGCAGTCCATCTTTATAGGTAACAGCGCCCTGTCTTCATATTCAAGCTCTTCACAAACACCTGTGACAGTGGTATTAGCTTGGCCATGTTGCAACAGGGGAATTTAAACATATAGGTTGAAGCTATTAATATTAAAAAAATCCAGTAATTTGAATATCTAAGCTGAGAATCTTGTAACGGGGGTTTTGGTGCGTTTTTTAAAAACATTTATTTCTTTGCAGTATTTAGCATCTTACAGTACTTACTTTAGTTGCAGTAACAGCTGTGTGTGGACAGTATTTTCATAAGCAAGATTTCATATGTTTCAAGCAAGACATAGAGAATGTGAGGAAAGGACTTTGACCAGTTTGTCCAACTGGGCATTGTAGTGTCTGTTGTTCTTGTAAACACAAGAGTCTGACGTAGTTGTGCTGAGTGGCATTCAGTTGCATTCAGCAGGGAACGCTGCTTTTTCATTTTCCAACTTGGTCACACTTCTACAGAAGTTTAGCAGTCATCCTTAGTAGAGCAGGGAGCTTTACAACTCCTAATCATGCTTTAGGGATATTCAAAGGGGTAACTCTGTGTAAATACTGTGGTTATCATGTGGTATCATAAACTTGTTTCTACAGTAGATGTACAGGAGCAACAGTGTGAATACGGTGCCTTATAATGGGAAGTACCAAAGCACTTCGTTCTTGGACACTGCTGCTTGAGCTTGCTGTGTGGTGTCACATACACACTATATTACAACTATGTTAACTAAAACACTATACTGTCTGCATAATGCAAGATAGTAAATGTATATCTACTTAGATTACTTTAATTCACCATAAAATTTTATCATGAGCTGTTTTGGAAATGACGTAGCATGCCCCCTCTGTCTGTATCAGTGTCTATGCAATTTCCTTTTAAATGGAAATGTCTAGATAGTACAAAACAATATCAGTTTCATGTTGACTATTTAGAGATAGCACTCTCCTACTTAACGATGACAGCTTTAATAGTGAGACAAATAAATGACTGAAATAATTAAATGTCAATGATAAATGAAGTTATTTTTTTGAAAGTTATAAGCAATGTACTTCTTGTTTGGGATCACCATTTTTAAGGCTTTAGGCTTCACCCAAAGGTAACTAAGTACTATTTGCAGTTATTTTTTTAAATGGCAAATCCATATTTATATATTAAAATGTAATGGTAGCAGGTTGTGAGTAGATGATTACATGCTAATTTTTATGTGCAGGTGTCCATATTTATGTTTGATTTTTATAATAATTGGTTATGGTTTCTCCACATCGCTGATTTTAATGCATACTGCTATACAAAAGCTGTTTTACATGAAAACTTAGTTTAGTTTTACAGTGTTTTTACAGTACTTAGTATAGTATAGTTTTACAGTATTTACTGGTTTGTAGCCGGGACCAATCTGGTATGTGGGGGAAAAAAAAAGGAGCTAAATTTGTTCCTTGGTGGATTTTTTTCCCCTGCATATATCATGGCCACATCTGTGGAATGTCTCTGATTTAGACTTTAATCAAGAGCCGTGAATTTTAATCAAGTAAAAGTAAAGAATGCATTTGAAATTGCTCATTACAGAGAGGGCTAGTTTGAGTAAATAAATAGATCTAGTGTGGACAGAGAGGATGAAAGCTTCTCTTCGGTATCTTCCATATCAGTATCTTGTTTGGGCACAAAAGGTTCTGCTATGGGTGCTCCCGCTCTCTTGGCTTGTTGGCTATGAAACATCCACTTGCTTTGCCACCAGCTCCCCATGTATCCTGTGGAAAATCACTTAAGCAAATCTTACATTTCTCCTTTTCCAATCAGATGGTAATACTGATACTAATTATACCCTGATGGCATTAAGTCAGGGCCTAGAGTGCCCTGAGGTGAAAGGCTCAGAGCCATGTATTATTTATTTACTATTGTCATGGAGAGGGTTGTTCCCCAAGGCTGGAACAGAGATTATCAGTTTACAAAACGGCTGTTCTGATGGTAATAATTCTCAGCTTCAGCTATCAACTTTGACATCTGATGAACAGTAACTCAGGGAAGAGAGACTTCTCATTTTATTAACAATCCTCCAAAGCCTTCTGGCCTCAGAAAATTGCTCAGTCTTTAAAGAGAAGAAATCAATCACGCTGCTTAAAAAAATATTCTCCTCATCAGGAAATGTCAAATCACCATTTAGTATAAACCTTTTCCATTTTAATTTTTCTGCACTATTTTTAAGAAGATGATGCATGTGTAAGGGTTTAGCAGCTTGATATTCTCTGCCAAGTGACCTGAAATTCACTCTAAGGAAGCTAAGGAGGGTGCCACAAATAGAGTTTGGACTGTGTCTGGGGTAGGATATCTCCAGAAAGAGTCCTCAGAAAGGCAATTAAGTGTTCCCCAGGAGGGACTCTGCATCTGCTTCCTTAGAGGGAAAGGGATGAATCTTCTCTGGGAGGCTGTCACTCAGCCTCAGCCTGGAAACAGGGCATGCCTGAGGTGAGCAGAGCTTGTACAGAAGCTGCTTGGCATTGATGAAATTCAATTAGGGATCATATTCAGGTGAATATGGCATTTAAACCCATTTTTCTGATTGCACCATTCTGTCTGGATAGCCAAAGGGCATGTGATATGGCAAACCAGAGATATGTCTTTACATATGTTTTCTGGCTACAGAGTTTGTGTGAATGGAGTCTTCCAAAGAAATGAAACAACTGGCCTTTAAGAAGATAAAAAGAAGTAGTGAAATATGGGACAGTTGGTCTAAGAAATACAGTCATGTATTTCATGTCATATATGGTCATGGGAATTTCTGTCAAATTGAAGGACAGGGCTCATAGCCAGCTACTGTGTGGTAATAGGAGGTGCCAGAAGGATGTATGACATAGGATGCTCTCTCATCCCTGACAGTGTGCTTGGGCACTGTGCTGTATGCCGACTGACCCCAACAGGTGTTTTTTGTAAGCAAATCCATACATTTATTCCCAGCTTACAATGTATAGATTTTTTATATGATACGAGAACTTCCATTGCCTTCTTTTATATCCTATACATATAGTGAATTGATGACTCTTTCCTGTGATGTCTTAAGTCTAAATGAGTTCTCAGAGAAAGAAATGTCCGTGTCTTTGGAGAAAACCAAACAAAAAAGCAAACAACCCTCACCCAGCCCCTGTTCTACAGAAATTTATGATTGACAGAGAGGAAAAGTACTTCTCCCATAGACACGATTGCAGCCTTGACATTTGATTTCATCATTTCAAAGTCCTAAGTATTGCTGATTAAAGCTGCTGCAATTGTGGTTATTTTGCAGCTCTCAGCAAAGCTGAGAAACTGTTATGTATGATTTTTTGCTTGACTGTGCTCTGCATATGGATTGTTGCTCTGCTCAGGACCAGTGGGGTTTTACGTCTGGTGCAGGTGTCAGAACACTGCCAGCTCTGTCAGGCTTGTTGTGAGTTTTCAGTTATCTCATCTGCATGAATGTGAATGTAAAATGCAACAATATATGTTTCACTTTCTCCTTTCCAGGTCAATGGTGACATCCCACCTCGATTAAAAAAGAGTGCCCATGAAATAATCCTGGATTTCATCCGATCGCGACCTCCATTAAATCCTGTATGTAATCCAGTGGGCTTCATTCCTAAAAAAAATTGTGGCTTTGTTTGTGTTTGTGTCCAACGAATATGTAAATACCACATTTTCTGCCATAGGCTTTCAAAAATATTGTCTTCTGTATATATAGAACAGGATCTCGAGTGTGCAATATCTTGCTCATACCAATGAATAGCTGTTATTACCAGCAGCCCTTTATCTCTGGGAAATCATGATGCATCAGGGAGAAATAAAACCCTCTTTCATATTTATGTGAGGTTTAAAATTGAGCGCATGTAAAATCGTATCACAACATTACACATTTTTTTCAAAAAAAGTGTGAAATCTGCTTTCAAGGAAGCAGTTTTTCATATAAATATGATTATATTTATATCCCAAGGCCTCGGCAAGGAAACTAAAACCAACCCCACCACGGCCACGCAGCCTTCATGAAAGGATACTGGAGGAAATCAAGGCGGAGAGGAAGTTACGTCCAGTCTCACCTGATGAGATAAGGCGTAGCAGGCTGGGTAAGCACGTTGCCGGTTTTTACCTACAGCATCCACAGAAAACTTCCCATACGAGAAGCAGCAATATTAGCCACGTCTGTGCAGGTGTCATGAAGGATAAAATTATTCTCAACCCTTCAGAAAAAGAAAGAACCTACAGGATTTTCTAGGGCTATGCAATTTTTGGGCTAAGTTATATTTTGAAATATGGAACCGAATGGTTCAGTTTGATTCCATTCAAGTTTTTTATGTAAGTATTAGATAAATTTAATGGTATTGTATTGCTTGTTGCACATGACAGCTAATGTTAGATTTGCTCAGAATGGAACAGCTTTTCCTTCTCCGCAGTGCAGTATGCCTTACATATCTGTAAGTCTTCTTTACATGTTGTTTTTTAATTAATTTATTCTCTGTGTTTCCTGTTGTTAGTGTCATCAACTTCCTTATTTTAATTTAAAACCTGCTTTTATTGTGTTTGCTGAATCTGTTGCACTTACTTTGAGTCTGAATGTTTGCTTCATTTTCCAAGTTGTGGAACATGTCTTTGTAGATCGTTTTAGTGGGAAAATAATTCAGACTTGCACTGTAAAACATTTAATTCCTGCAGTGCATATTTAACAACCCACTATGAAATTATACAAAATACTGTACTGTGCAGCAATCACCAGGTTCTGATGACAAAAGAATGACAAATATAGTCTTATATAGTGACTTGATTGCTTTAAGAGAGTGATATTTATCTGTATCAGAAAAACTAAACTAGCTGGATTCTTGAAGAGCAAATGTGGCATCTTACATCTGAAAAGCATGAAATAACCCACGTACGTACTCTCTATCCCTGCTTTTTGCAAAATATTTGTGCTTTCCACGTGCTCAAAGGCACTGGTCCAGATTCAAGTGGATTGTGACAACCCATTGTCTCTGGAGAAAAACAGTTTCATCAGTCTTGCTTTGTTGCATTGTTTATGAAGTGCTTGATGGAGTTTGGGGAATGCTTGAGTGCGTTTTTAAAAGCACAGTGTTTTGAATATTGGTTTTTTGGGCCCTCAAGTTTCTGATTTGGATTAATTTTATGCTTGCCCTATCAATTAACATTTCTAACAGGCCTAGACATTTTTCCAAATGTAGGAAGCTTGTAAAAATGTAGAATGATTCCTCACTTTTCTTTCAAACATTCAATTTCAGTGTTTTAAATGTTCTCCATCTGGGAACTATCATATCATCTCAGGGGCAGCAAATTTGATCTAATAAATCTTTACAGTTTCTAACTGATATAAATGACATCTAACTCAATTAGTAAACAGTTTCTAAAACCAGTGTTAAATTTTGAACTACCACTGGTTAGGACTTCTGAACTGATTTCAGAGCATGGCTTCCAATGAGGGATACCTGTCTTCTACCAATTCTTCATTTTTTGTTACAGAATTAAATTTTTGTGTTTTGGAACTCTGATAATTCCTCTTAAGTCCAGTGAATTGATTGGATTGAATGCCATATTACTGTAGGTGTAAAAGGGGACACATGCAATTTTTTTTCCCAAGTGTATATTTGCTGCTGGCATGAAGAAGTAAAAAGATCACAGGTCTTTAAGATAATTTTTCCTTGTGTTGAAATATGAGGTTTTGTTCTTTCTCACATTGAAATGATGGTTATGCCCAAAGTTGCTTTTAGAGTAGAATGTGTTTGTGCAGAATTGCGAATGGAGTAATACTAGTGGCATTCAGTATGGCACAAATAGATCTGCCATGTAGTTTAAATGACCACTGAATGTAATTTAGTGTAACAACATGTAAAGTAATGAGGCTTAAGGATTACAAATCTAACACCACATGGGACACTTACACCATCTGGACAGAAATATTTGTTGCTATTAAAAAGGAGGGGGGGAAAAAAAGCACATTAGAATGAAATATTTGGGAGCATTAGGTATGTTTCACGTGTCCCATAGTTACTCCTTTTTGCTCAGTTTATACCAGTCAAAAGCACAACTACACTTGACTGTTGGGGTGAGTGGGGCTGTACTCCTGCAGTTCCTCCTCCGTGATCTGAGTGTACCTACAGCATGTGTTTCCCAGCAGCCTTAGGCTTTGTCCCTCTGCTCTGCACAACACATGGTACAGGTAAGATCTTCTGTACCCTGAGCTGCCACTGAAAAAAGGCAACCTGGCCATTCTCAGTCTAAAACTTATTTGGAAATGGTGATTGAAACTTGGTAGCTGTTCTCACAAAGGGAGAGTTTTGAGTAGAGGAACTGAAGTGAGCTTTCAAATGACCTCATAAAGTGATCAGCATAAACTATCAAGACAGACACAGCTTTGAGGTACGTGTCCTTTTAATTAAAAGCATGGATTTGTGACTCAAGCAAGTGGAGCTGTTGGAACTCAGAGAAAACTTTGCTTCATGTGCGTGTTTTATCAGCCTTCAGTTAGTATTCAGCATTAGGTGATAAACACCCATATGCTTTAAAATGTATAATGCTTAGTTTGGACTGGGATTTAAATAGTGCTTCGGTAGCTGTTATGTATGGCCGATGTTGTCTAGTTAATGAACTGCAGAAAAAATACCGACTCCCAAATCTGGCTCTGAGTCAGCCACCTACAGCATTCACCACTTTATTCTCATGAGCAAAACTTGTCCCAGTATAACCTTTTTATAAACACCTTTTAATGCAGTGGTATGTGTGGCTGACAGGCTCTTTCATACCAACTTGCATGTTTATCACCTGTCAAGTAAGACATGTAAGCTTTTTTAATGTTTTTGTACATTCTTGTCATTGGGCTTAGCCTGCTTATCCAGATTAGTGCATTGAAATTTTACTTTCAGTACTTCCTTATCTAGCAATAAAATAGTTAGAGGCCCAGGAAGAAGAGAATATTACTGATACATTTTAAAGGCTAAGTGCACCTAAGGTTTTTGAAAAGCACAGGAATCAGCACAAATCAGATTTTTTTTGGCCTTTTTTTCAAACCTTTTCAAGGAAAACTACTGTTCAAGCTTAGCTTGAATGTCTCTCTTTATTAGTTTAATTATAATCATTGGAGATTATGCTTAAAAAAATTAGAAATATCTTTATTTCAGGTCACTGAAACTTGTGTGAAATGTGGCTTTGTGCTTTCAGTTTTCTTTTCAGCTTTCTCTCCTCTTTCCCTTTTCCCTTTTTCATAGCATTTTATTTGAAAATACTAAATTTTTAAGATACTTGCCTCTTGTTTTGATATTTGATTTATTGAATTCCGAAGATCTCATTCTACGACTATACTAATATATTTGTAATTGCTCTGTTTGCAAGTCCCATTTATGCTACTGTAGTTTTCAGACTTTGAGCTTTACTACAGTGAAGCAGTAGTATGTCTGACACATTTTGGATTTAGACAACAGAATCCAAAATGTCTTAAGTGGAGTTAATCTTTTGTTTTCATTATCCCTCTGCTTTTCTAATAGCTGAATTGTTTTCTTGTTTTGTTGTTTTTGTTTCTTTTTTTTTACAGCAATCCGGCCACTTAGCATGTCTTACAGTTTTGACTTGTCAGGTAAAATGTCCTACACCACCTGACCTGTGGTTATTGTGCTTATTGTGAAATTTGTTCCATCTGTTTGTTGAATTCACATTTAGGAAAGAAACTTGAAGGGATTCTTCCAATACATGGTCAGTGAAAATAAAAAAATTTATATAAATTAGCTATTGATACCTACATTTCCCTTGCCACAAAACATTGCCTAGGTATAGGAAACATCTGCATTTCACCTGAAGTAGAGTGCTGGAATTCTGCTTAAACAGCTTACCAAAATAAGGTGGCCCAGAGCAATTCCAGACTCTTAAAAGGATTGCAGAATACAGTGTCACCTTCAAGTCTGATTGCTTTATTTATTAATCTGACCTTTATGTCTTTGCACTCACTTTTTGACTAGACCATCTTTTACAGTACTTCATTTCTCACAAGGTTCCAAAAACTAGCTTTGAACTCATCTACCTTTCTAGATTTAATGAAATATACCTATGTATACTAATCTGGAAAGAAACTGTCAGTTCTGCTGAGTGTCTTTACATTAGAAGCTTTGTGAGCTGTGAAATCAAAGAGGTTCACTAAAAAAGAGGCTAAACCTTCTTTATTTACTGATTAGCAAAATAAATTGATAAGGTTTGGTGGTAATAACTGTTACAGGGGATTCAATAGCTGATCCTTCATCAACTATCTAATATCAAATTTCAAGTTTCCGCTTTGTGAGCCATTAGTTAGGACATGCAGTAACTGTATGAACATATTCTACTTCAGAAACAGCAGTGTCAGATAGAGTCTGTGCCTGCTAGCCAGAAAATAAATTCATTCCTTCCTCATTATACACTAACTTTCCGGGATATTCAGGCTCAAAGATTCCATCATTGATGTTGGAAATACTCGACATCAGCCCCAAAGGTTTGTCTGCTGAGGACAGCTAGCTATCTTATGCTAGCTCTTACCTAATTTCCCTTAGGTGACTCCCGAAAAGAGTTTCCAAATAAATCCATGTCTCCATACCCACTCCCCTCCTTCCTTCAAGCTGTATGTAGAAACATCTCATCTGAGACTTTTGCAGAGTTCACATCCTCAGTTTCTCCATGCACCCTTTAGCCTCATCTGGTTGTTTTCCCCACAGAAGGGCATAATCTGACTGAAATGCTGGCATATTGTGAACTAGAAAGACCATACAGAAGTTTTTCAGTAACTATAACATAAAAACTAAAATAGTTATGCAGTATGGGAACACAGTCCACATGTGACCTACCCGTGAATGTGGCTCCCTGTTCTGGCTGAGCCAAGTAATCAGTTTGCCACTGTGGAGCAGGGAGGAGGGACTCGCTGCTCCCTCTCCTTCCCAAGCTCCCCTCTATGCATGAGATTCCCCCTCCTCCTTTGTCCTGCTCATTTATTCACAGGATGACCTGGTTAAACCCATGTAAGCCAGGAACAAATACTTTTAATTTTTTAACAGGTTGGTTTTCTGCTCTTTTAGTGATTTAAACCCTTTTACTGTCTGATCAGATGATCAGAGAGCTGGCTGAGGAGGGCAGGTGATGAGCATGGGTGAAAGGGAGGAAGAAACAGGCTCTCCCCGTCAGAGGTGGTGACAAGCTGTTAATCCAGCTCAAGCCTTTCTGTGAAACCTTACACTCATGGTGCATTGTACAGCTACTACAGCTGTCTGGTGGGATTAAAATTACATATGTACATGGTATCATGTTTTACTCTACTGAAAGCTGCAGGGTCCCCAGAGCCTCAGATAGTAGCATAAACAGGCAAACTTCAGTTTTTCAAAAAGTGTCACTACTTTCAGATACACCAGAAGTTCCGTCAGTTTTAAGACTATAAAACTGAATGTGCCGATGACCAACAAAAGAGAAATGTTCAGGTCTGTCCTTTGACACGTGTCTGTCTGCTTCTTCCCTTGCCTTCTATTTTTAAGAATTCTGAGACATCCTCATTTATTTAAATCCCAACAGTATTTTGTAAAAGCTCTCTTCGTAATCTATTAATTCATCACCATCCTGTTTTATTTTAAAGAAATAGCTTTAGCAATCTGTACTGTACTTTGATTTGCTCTTTTTGACTGACCACTGAAGAACTCTTCCTAGTTTCTTTGTCCACCTCTTAAATGTGATTGGTTTTGTTTTTTCGAATCATGTAGTTCTCAGCAAGTATGGTGTGACTGAATGATCTGATAAATTGTACTTAGAAGTAAATTCTGATGATTAAAACATTCCAGTTAGATAGATGTGAGACACCAGATGAGCAGTACAAGCAAATTAAATGGGTTGGGATATTGATAGTAAGCAGTTAAGCAGTAATTTTGAATGGTTTGCGTGCTTTTACTTTTTTCCTTATTTTGGAGGCAGAGAGGCTGTGCTTTCATCACTGTTTCCACACACTTGCCTTTTCACTGCTTTCACTGCTCTCTGCTTGATGGAATTGCTGTCATGAAAAAAACCACAAACCAGCTGAAAAACAGAAGTGTTTCCTACTAAGTGCTAAAGGACAGGTGCAGGTTTATATTATGCATGCTGTCTGCGATGGGAACGATGCAGACCAATGCTGAAAAGACTTTTACTGGCACTGAGCTGGTGTAGTTGGTATGTCACAGTGCCTGGCCCCAAGCATCTCCCTGCTGCTTTCCTGAAGAGGAGAGGAGGGGTGCCTGGGTCCTCCTTTTACACTGCTGTGTAGAAGGAGTAACCTGTAGTGAGATATCTTAGAGGTACTCAGATATCAGGTAGGGACCAGGGCAGTCACTGAGACCAAGACAGTCATTACCTTCTTCCTGTAATAGAAAAACACCTTAAAAGCAGCTTAATTTCAATGCAGTGTTGAATGCAGATCAGTCATTCCCACTCTTAACGCTCCAGTTCTTACCTCAAAGCTGTATGCATGGCTGCTTCAAAGTTGTTATTTCAGAAAGAATTTGTACATTGGGGGGTGTGCAGAGAGAGAAGAAAAAAAGGAAACTGAAGCATATTTCATGGGAATTATTACTTTTAGATCATCTCTGCCTCAGACCACTGTGAGGAAGGACTCCACCAGCTCCTGATAAACTCTTCATTTAGATTACACAATATGATGAAAACACCAGCAGAGGGCTGGCAGTTTGTTACACTGATTTATTAGTTCTCATGTTTGACTTCAATGTCTTAAGTCCACTGAAAGGAACAGCACATCTCTGTTACCTTTATTCCTTATATAAGAATACCCAGTATATCATGATCCTAACTAGCAAAAAGTAAACCTGTATTAATTCTGCAAATCCATTTTAGCCTTCTTTTAAATGCAGTGTAAAAAATTATGATCTTGAGGAGTATATTTGCTGTCTAGAGCAAAATCATATTTCTGTTGTCACTCTTTGCCAAGGAGAGCTGGTTGGGAGGCAGACAGCATATGGTTACATGACTGCTGTGGTTTGCATGTAATTTGTGGTCTGCTTAATTCCTTGTTTCGCAAGAGACATAATCTTACATGTTAATAAAGGTTCAATTCATATTATCCTAAGGTGGGAGTTTTTTGTCTCCCCTGTCTTAAGGCTAGTCAGGGAAGCCCAACAGAATGATCAAGGAATCAAATGAAGACCTTCTCTTGATTTGCCTGTCGTAATGATAGCTTAGAGAAAAACTCAGAAGAAACCAGACACATTCATCCAATTTGCAGGTACTGTTCATTGTACTTGCTGCCTGAAAACATGGAGAAATGACACTCTCTCAGTGTGTCTGACTCTCTAATAAATTCTTAACCCCAGGCCATTACAGACACAAACCTTTTTTTAATATCATTGGAATCATCTTCAAAACATCCTTGAAACCAGAGATTGTGAACTCCTATCAATTGAAAAAAAAATAATTTAGGTTTTTGTTTCAAAGAACTGTCCATTGATTTCTTCTGTCACATTCATTTTTACAAACGTTAGTTATTTGTTTTTTCTGCTTTGTTTATCCTGATAAATTTTATTTTGTTTATGATGATGTACAATTATTTGCTACCTGGTAATGTTTCTGTTGCCTGAGTATATCACTAAAATAGCTTAAACAGAGTAGTCATTTTTTTGTCTGTGTCTGCTAACAAATTCAGGTTTTATTTATGGAACAAGTTATTTTTCTTGAAATCTGTTTGTTGAAACTAAGATTTCATGATGTTTTTCTTCAATTATGATAATCCATTTATTCATATGTATCCTGTACTGCAAGTGCAAGAATGAGAAACTGAACTTGATTGACCAAATGGATTTTATAGATTGGATGCTTTTCTAATTTTACTCTATTTTTTAATTATTCTTTAGTGCTTACAAGTGGTTAAAACTCCCTGGTTTTTTTAAGGAAAATATGGTGCTAAATTATATATCCTACTGAAGAGCCCTTGAAAACAAATACTATGTTGGATTGTCTTCTTGATTCACCTAAAACTTCTCTTGTGTTTGAAGAAAACTTGAACTCACATATGAACAACTCAGAAATATGTGTGAACAATTCATACATGTGTGACTTCAAATCACAACTGGTTTAGGCTTCATAGATAGTGATTGGCTACATAAATTACCTCCAAAATGGACCAGAAATTTCCATTTCTGGGGCTTAAAAGAAATTTGGCCTAATTCTTAGGGAAAAAAACCTCACACCCAAAACAAACAAACAAAAAACCACTAGAGAAGAATTTATGGTGTAAAAACACATTCCATCATCTGCCATAGTGCTAGGGCATGTCTGGTGGGTGTTTCCCCCTCTTTCTTTCCCCAGACTTATTGTGTGTTTTATTTTTTGGCAGGAGGGCTATGCTTTGGCCTTCCAATCATTTATTGTCCCAGTGAGTCCAAGAGTGCTTATAGGCCATTCTTCACCCACCCTACCATCAGGCAGGGGAGTCACCACCGAGGAGGTTTAGGGGAGAAGGGGCACCATCTTTGGCTGTTGGGTGGTGATGCTGGGGCTGCTTCCCTGGACAGTCTGTTCAGGAACCACCCTGTGCAATCGAAAGACAAGTCAGAGGCTTTTTCTTACTCATTTGGGAAACCCAGAGCTTCTTCAATCAACGGTGTGCCAGCTAATTATGAGGTCTTAAGAAGTGGCATTGGCAGCAGGGAGGGCAGGCAGTTTGGGTTTTATTTTCCTGCTGTCCCTTTCTGGGATTGGGTTGAGCAGCTCTTAGAGCAGGAATGCATTTGATGTGGAGGACGCCCATGCTGTACTCACAGAGATCTAGAAGGAAAAAAAACCTCCACGACCTATAAGCCATAGTGGTAGTCAGGACACCCATTAGCAAAGCCTTTGAAGATAGGAACTAAGGGTTAGAGAGACTAAGTCTTTGATTGCAGCTCTTTGTAGGGAGGACCTGAAGGGAGTAATGACACTGTAGTACACAGATTCATAGGCTTGGAATGTCACTATGACTTTAATAGCCCAAATAATGGCCTTTTCTTATACTCCCAGTTGAAGGTATGATTTATAGAGGAACTATAATATATCCCCTGTCCTTTCTAGCTCAGTTTCCAGCATTTAACAATAATAATTTGAATAATTCTTTAAAATATATGTTGATTTAACTTATTCCTCTCCTTATTCTGTTTCAATAGCTGCTCTGGTGAGAATGTTGTAAAACAGACCTGCTACTGTAGCTGAGCTTTGTCTAGACTGTAGTTTTAATTTACCTAGTGCAAAGATGGCTTTATTAATTCAAATGGTGTTGTAGCAGCAGTGACTGTGTCTGTTTATACCAGGACAACATGTAAGTAACTCCAAATGATGTGTGAGTACTTACATTGTTGGCACTCTGAATATCTGGATTATATAGTTTCTCTGTCACAGTCCTCCCAGTAACCTAAGGTACAAGTCACTTGACCTTCTGTGCCTCTTTTCACCATGTGTAAAAATGGGAATAATAACTCATCATTACCCTTATAATACCTAGAGGTACTTTGTTATTACAAGACTGGGGAAGGAGTCCTATAATTACATGAGTAGAAAAACACATTTGTAGAAAGACCAGATGCTTAGGCATACATGCAAATGACAGATTAACAGCTTCTCTTCCTTGTCCCTCCAACATAATTTTCTTCAGCTTGGAATACTGCACTTTGTACTTTTACAGGGATAAAACTGATTTATCAGACCAAACACTAAGCTCTTCTAAAATATCAAAGCCTAGGTCATTATCTTAATGTCTAAGCTAAGCTAGGCTAAGCACAGCAGACCCAAATCTTAGATTATCTGAGATGCATCTTCATTGCACACTGGCAGAAATCCCAAGTAATTTACTCCGTGGAGTTACGTCCCTGTAAAACTCATGTAGATGAAAATAGAGCTGGAGCCTCATGTTTCTGCTGTTACATGAAGGTCTGACATCACAGACATGTTTTTAATACAAATGGCCATGCAAGCCTAAGAGTTGTGCATATGTTTGATGAATGCTCATTATTTACCTCATTTTCATTCCTTTTCTGTATACTGCAGAATAAAGTGCAATTCTGTCCTCACAGGAAAAACAGGGTTTACTCCATGCTAAACCTCCTAATTTCTGTATGGTGTTGTCATCAAATTCACTGGAAACCCACTTGCCCAGATATGGTTGTGCATTCTTCTGGTACTTGTTATATAGTTAATTATAGGTTATACATTGAAGGAAGAATATTTTTGGGTTTAACACAAGCAATTTTTTTAAAGTTGATTGGTGTTCTTCTGAGGTTGGGTTTTAGTGTTATGCTGTTATGCACTGCTGCTTTTTCCATGGCTTTCATTCTTTCATACTGCTTCTGTACCACAAGCCATTGCCTGTAGTTCTCCGAGAAGCATACTGCTGAAAGTAGAATAATTGCACACATATAACTATCACAATGATTTTTTTTTCTTTTTGTGTGTATTGCCTTGACAGTAAGATTTGAGAAGGCAAAGTACGTATTAGTTCCAAACACCAATTGTTCTGTTTCTTTTGCTAGATGTGCCAACGCCAGAGGCTGGAAGAAAAGTAGTGGATGCCTCTGTAGTGAACGGTGGCCTGGCACCACAAGGAAAGCAGAATGGGGCCACACAAGTAACAGTACAACGCAAGAGACTCCTTAAAGCTCCCACGTTGGCTGAACTTGACAGCTCAGACTCAGAGGTAAAAAATCAGGACACAACTTGTTTCTCGATTTGTCAGAATTGAGTCTTGTTTCTTAATTTGCTGAACTGATCAGATGAGAAGTGACTTTGCAGATTATAATCTGAATTTTCTGTGACTGCTTTGTCAGCCCATGGAACTTCAAAAATCTTAGATCAGATCTCAAAAAGGAGAATATTATTGTTAAAAGGGAATTTTGGCCTTAAACCAGTATTTACTTACTTTCCGTAATGTCCAGTGTCTGTCCATAGTGTGTGTGTAGCAATTATGCTTTTGGGAATTCAGGAAAATGCGTTGCACCCTTCTGGCACCCATAAAGGAGCTGTCACTAAAGGACTCAGATGTGAGGCCAGCCTCACCCTGCCAGCTGTTAAATAAAGAGCATCAGCTGTGCCAGAAGGGTTGCAGTTTGGTGCGAATGTCAGTGCATTAGTTTGCTGTATAAGATTGGGAACTAACACCCTAAAAATGTTTTACAGACAGGGACAAGCAAATACCACTCAGATGAAGAAATAATTTTGAATCCATCCTCTCCCAAATTGAGAGTTAAAGATTTTTAAAAGCTTTTTAGCTTCAAAGCTGCCTTATATGTGATCCTCAGGAAGTACCAGCATTACATCCTCAAGAATGAGCTTTGTCTTCTGGACCAGTAGTATTATTAATTGAGTTTGGACCTTTCTGAAAGTTAAGCTGTCTGGAAAGCTCATGCAGGCAGGGTTTATTCACAGAGAATAATTTTAGCCTGGGGAAAGCAGTCTTCCCTGACTGTTTTTCTCTCTTGTAAATGGGGAAGGAGGGGTTTCCTGACAGGGTGGTTACAAAGGCATCTAAGCTGAAAGATAGGAGGCCGGGAAGAAATATATGTGGGGAGAAATTTATCTCTTTGCATACTTTCTTGATCTGTGAAAGGTTGGTCCTCTTTGTATTAGGGGTTATCCTGTGGGTGACTTGTGTGGGTGCGTAATTTGATACATCTGTTCTGAAAGCAGAAGAGATTTGCATTCTGAAATCACTCATCAGTCTTTAAGATTACAACAGAGGCTACATGAGGTTTTGTTAACATCAGTGAAGCTGGGAAGAATGCAGGAATATTAAGACCTGTCAATGAGAGTTGGATCTTGAACTTACAGCTTCTGTGCATCCTTGAAGCTGATGCAGCATGATATTTCACACAGAAAAATGAGCAGAAGTCAGTAAAAGAAAATTATGTAAAGGGAAATGTGAAATAATTCTTGTCGGAGGGAAAAACAAGATGTCTGAATGTGGCTATTGATTAGGGAATACTGTGTAGGCAAGCAAAGTGATATGGAATAAGCTCTGAAACAGACAGCAAAAGATAAATTGAAAATAAATCAGTAACATCGAGCTGTCACAGAGAACACATGCTGTACTGGGTTGAGTCAACAGACATAACTGGTGAAGCAATTGAGATGTTGAAGATGCTGAAGCAGAATACTAGTTGGGGCTCAGGAACAGTGCTAAAGTAGTGAAAATAAACTGAAGGGAGTTAGGGTGAAATTTTTCAAGCTGATGAAGGGGGTGGGACATAGAACATTTGAAGAAAGTGAAGATCACTCTGTCAGAATGTCTTATTTGTTTCCTGACTTTTACTTTGCATGTAACACACAGGAAGGCATTTGTGTTGTCCTGATTGCCTGTAAATGACTCGGCCACCTTTTTGACTGCAGTTCGAATTGGGCTTAGCCTATTTAGAGCTACTCACTGGGAGGCAAATTATGGCTATGCCCTAAATTACAGGCTGGAAATACCTGCACTGCTAAGCTTTGGACCTCCAAATGAGCTACGATGCAGACACATTTTCTTCATCCTGAATCTCCTTTGTTCTTTCAGCTGTGTTGTGATGCAGGCTACATTCCAACACTCAGTGTAGCCAGATAGAGGTAAAAGGGAAGGTCTGATACAGCCCTATGCTCATTCACTGGCGAGGATGAATACTGTATGAATCATTCCTTCTTTCTGTCCTTGGTTTTTCTGCATCTCCCAGTTTCCAAGGGGCGGGGAGCAGGAAGTGCTGTTTTGCTTTATGTGGCTAAGAGAAGTAGCAATCTAATAGTGATTTTTTAATAATGTTATATAATGGCCCATCTTCGCGAACGAAGATTTTGGGGAAAGGTCTTTTTACCTTTCCAGCCTGCGCAATGGATTTTTTAGGTGAGACACAGCCTGCGCTGAACTGAGCCCACCCTTTAATCCTAAGGTTCATCTGCCGGGGCCAAGCAAGCTTGGACAATGGCAGTGAGGTCCTCAGGACGTAGGTTTGTTTAGAGTGTCCTTCTCATAGATGGATGGCCACACAGGGCTAATGACCTCCATCAGGCCAGGAGACCGGGGAATCGAACCCGTGGTCGCAGCAGTGAAAGTCCTGCATGCTAACCACTAGGCCACCAGGGGGTCTCGATTTTTTAATACTCATATAAAAATTGTATCTTCCTAATGAAGCTACATCTATCTGGACAAAAATCATGTCTGTAACATAGTCACATGTTTTAGAGTGATACCTTTAAAGCTGCAGCTTTTTCAGTACCTGTAAAATTCTAATTGTTTAGCACTCTATGAAGAAGTGCACAGTTTTGGATGTTTTGTTGATCCAACCTCAAATGTAAAATGTCAGATAGTCTATCATAATAGTCAACAGTTACTGTATAGATATGAAGAAATAAATACAATGATTCATCAGTACTACCTACACAAGATTTCATTCTCAACAAAACTTTCTATGTTTGAGAAATTGTAGGACAACAATAGCATTTTCAGTGCACATGTTTATGCACAGAAGTAGTAATTTGAAATTACAAATCGGGAATACCTGGGAACTTGTAGAGGCCTCTGTCCTGTGATGCATGGTGCTCATTGAAGTGATCCTGCCAGCTTTTCTGTCTGACTGGCTGTTGCCAAAGAAGGCAATCTTTCAGCCAGTGGAGGTTTCCTGCTTTCAGCTCACTTAACTAAGGAAATCTGTGAGAGAGAGGTTTGGCCACCTGCTGGATTTTAGAGCCGGTCACATGTTTGATCTGTATATCTTGACAACTTACGTCATTTAAGGCTTCTTGGTTGAAGGCATTCACATTGGAGCTAAAGAGCATTCACACTTGGTCCTTCAATGCTGTTTCTTTGGGAGGGTCCTGTGATGATCTGTATCCTTACTTTCAGTCTGGCAACTGAAGACAGAGTTTTTAGGTGAAAGCAAAGGATTTAATGATTTGAGTAGCATAATGCTTTAGCTAGTTGAAAGTTGTTAGTCAAAGCCCATTTCACTTTCCTTCATCTTGCAGGAGTTGCATTTGGCTGTTGTGAAGAAACATGCTTGTATAGTGAATGAGTTTTCTTTTAAATACAGAAGAAAGGAGAAATGCACCAGGATTGGGAATTAGAGAAACAGTGCAGTGCAAATCAGATTAGTTTCTCTTTACCTGAGTCACTTATGTGAGTGGCTCTCATTCCTTTGGTGACTAGAGAAATCTAAATGCTGATTCCTTGTTAGTGCAAGAAAGAAACTTTCCATTTGCTCAGTACTGTGCAGAGTCAATGTTTTTCTCAGGACTTCTAGGGCTTTGAGTGATTGAATGGTGCAAAATATCTGTGATAGCTTACAGTTTTTGTGTACAAAGAAGCAGTAAAAGAACTAAAAACTGTCCCTGAGGAATTCTGTTTCTTTTCCTCTTGCCCAACAGGAGGAATCAGTGCACAAGTCAGGAAGTAGCAGCAGCATCTCCCCCTCACAAGTGGAAGACCCCTCTCAAGAAGGCACCAGCAGCAGGAAGAGTAAGTTATTGTGAGAGAGCCCAGTGGCTGCATTTACACACTTGTGTTGTCTTCTGTGCTGTGAACTTCATCTGAAACTTTTATAGAAGGCTAAAGCTGAGCGTTGTTAATGGAATAATCCTCTAAAGCTGAACCCTAGAACGTGCTGAATGGGTCAAATGTGATAAAAAATTGGAAGCCATTAGTCCCCACTATGTGCGGATCTCTTTGTGAAGGAGAAGGTTTCATATTCAATGTAAAACTGTAGTCAAAAGTGAATGGAGGGATAGATTAGCTCTGCTCATCTCATAAAATAATTTGTTGCTGCAAAAATATGTTCTAACCTGGGGCAAATTCAGACGTTTCCTGCATGTCTGTCACCATGGCAGTGAATGTGCTTGTTTGAAAGACATACAGCAATCACGGGTATTTCTCATAAGTATTTACAGACCAGAGGAGAACATCTGGTCTTTTTTTCTTTCAAGGACAGTTATTGTAGCCTTTACTGTGTAACAGTATTTTTCATTTGTTTCAAAGTGTTTCAGTTTGACTGGAAAGGTTTCGTAACGAAACCTGCAATCTGTGCATGTATTTTCTGTGCATGATCAGGAAATAAGCAGAATAAACCAATATCCTGAAACACCATGGGAACTGGACAGTAGTGTGTCTTATGTTTTATGAGTATTCCTATTCTCTCAGTCTGGAAGATGTGATGAATGGGATACCTGTCTCTGAGTATGAGCTCTGAGTATGGATGTGTAACTTCAGCTACCAGTAGTAGGAATTCTAGCAAATCAGTGGCTGGATTAATACTGAGCAATGTTAACGAACAGTCTGCCTTACAAGAACTAACTTTTTTATGCTGTTTGAATCCTTAGTGCCTCCGAAGTTCTTGCCCATATCGTCTACACCACAGCCTGAGAGACGGCAGCCACCTCAGAGACGACACTCCATTGAAAAGGAAACACCAACCAATGTGAGACAGTTCCTACCCCCTTCAAAACAGAGCTCCAGGTCACTTGTAAGTGGAGGGGGTGGTAGGAGAGAGAAAAAGAGGCATGCTAAGAGTATAATGAAAATTAAAACTTGGCTTCAGTGTGATTAGAGCTTGACTCAAAGAAAACTCAATTCAGAAACAGCCCTTGGCTACTAAAGACATTTTGAAATCAAGATTTGAACTTTGTCTCTCTAGCATATTTATCCAAAAACCCAGGTACAGGTGCCTCAGAAAACATTTGCACTTTGATTAGGACTCCGGGTAAAGCCACATGTCTTGATTTTGTTTCAGAATGTTACCAAAACAAATGAACTTCACCTTACTGATCTTCCACTTGAATAGTGACGATTCAAAAGCAGTGGATCTATTTTGGGATTTGGGGGAAATTTTTTTAGTTGTTGGAAGTATTACTGTTAATGACTGAATGAATGGAATGGTTTCTTTTCTTCCCACCTTAAGAATTTGCATGGTAATGTTTATACATATGAAAGCTCTTTCAGTAGTCCAAATCAAGGTTTGTCTGTGTTGCTTTGTTGAAATTACTGAGGCAAAAACCTGTATTAGTGCTTGAAAAGAAAGTACAGTGCATTTGATCAATTAGCTTTAATTGAGAACTGTTTTCCAACAGAGTACAAACAGCAAAGGGTATGAAATCGTGGTTCATTTATGCTGACATACTGATTAGTGCTTTGTGATTTCATGCAGGATATGTTCCTTGTCTCTTTTCCTACCAGCAGGGTTTCAAAGTATGCCCCATGAGGTGCTGGTGAATAGGAAAATCAATAAACACATCCTAGTTTTGAAAGGAAGGTAATATTCACTTGCCCAGTCTTGTAGTGCAGTGGTATTAATGGGCTTTGAAGAGCATTTTTGTTGGCCCAAAAGATGATGGCCAGGATCCAAACCTATTACATGATGAAGTTGATCAGTAACAAGAAAAATATCTCCAAATATTCCCATGAAGTCCTTTCCCTTTTCAGAGAGTCTGCTGGATTTGATTATATCCTTCCAGGTAGAATGTAGTTCCTCATTCCTGCTGAAGGTCAGGTAGTAACATGTTGATAAATGCACAACACAAGTAGACGTCTTCTGCCAAAGTGAACTTGGAGCAGAACATATTGCAGCAGAACCAAGCTGGAGGGATCCTTCAAACATGCGTTTGAAAACATTGTCACATAAAATGGGTTTCCTGCTGGCCACTCACTGTATGTGGAAACCCAAACTTTATTTTCTGGTAGGCCCAGAGTTATTCACAGACAAGTAGTTTAAAGAGAGGAGGGGTTCAGAAAGCATTATATGCTATACTGAGACATTTGCTCCATCCTGCTTTTGGTGTATCTATGTTACATCATAATATTAATCTTGTGTATTTGAGAGGATCATCCAACTTAAAAATCTCACATGAGGCCGGTATTTTAAATAGGTCAACCAACTTCTCACCAGGACCTTTTTGACCACGTGCATACTCTGTCAGTCTGTTCACTGACATATGCCTAGAAAAATACATACAAAATAAAACCATTGCAGAAAATCTAATTGAGTTATTCTATTCCCCTTGAAAAATACTAAAGGAAAAGGGAGAAAAAGCCATGAGATAAGTCAGTCTAATGCGGAAACAGATGGGAAGGGGTTTACTAGTTTCTTTTGTGTTTGGGGGGGTTGTTTGTTTATTTTGGTAATTTTTTTGGTTGGAATTTTTTTTGGTTTTTGTTTTTTTTTTTAAATCTTCAGAGAACTGTCACCTAGCTTGGTTTTGGCTTTGAAGTGAGAAAGAAGGAAAGATAGTAGTGAAATGATGTTCCATTAGTAAGAACCTATTTTATTTGATGCCTAGAGACCTAATTCTTTAACTTGACAATAGTGCCCTCTAGGGTGTGGCAGACAACTCCCACAATACTCTTGTTTTTCGTTTTGATAGATGAGTTCTGATATGCTGGCATTGGCCCAGTTCCAGAAAGCTTCAGCTTTCTGCAACTCTCTCCTTCCCCCAAGGGATGCCAACCTTCCAGTGGCTGTACCAGATGTTGCATATGTAAAATTGCCCTTCCAGGAGTGAATGCTTCTCAATAAGTGCAGAATATTATTTATTTTTATTTGACATCACACTTCTTCATCCCTTCCTTCAGGATTGATGGAATTTCATTTCTTGTCACCAGCTCCTGTGACCTCGGTTTCTCTCCAAGGTGAAGGAGACCTCGTCAATAAATAGCCCTCAATGCCAGTGAAACCAGTCAGGAGGTTGCTACAGTCTCTTAGCAGGATTAGCAAGAAACTGGTCTGTCTTGCATACTAACGACGGTTTTGTGAACTGGCATCTCCTCAGATAGAGGGAGTTAGGCCTAAGTAGGTGGGGAGGGGAAACAAACTTGGAAAAGCGCCAAACATAGTCCTTTTGATGTATCACCCTACCAGTGCTACATGGAAAAGCAGAGTGGCTCAGTGATTTTGGGGGGGCAGCCCTGGTGGTGTGCTTCCTGTAGTGAGCCGACTTGGAGCTTAATCAGTGAGATGAAGTCAGTGTCCTGAGATGTACATATGGACGTCTTTGTAGTCTGTTTGCTTTTTTAATTATTGTTATCATCATTAATTTTTTACATGACCCAGAGGACCAAAGCTAATGGTTTCATTTAATACACAGCATTCGCTTCTCTGCTTCCTATCTATTGTTCAGGTTCCTAGGATAACCAGTTTATTTCCAAGGATGACTTTCAGACCACTTTTTTCAACTATGCAAGCAGCTTCTCTGCTCAGCTCTCATCCCGTTGAAGCAGCCATGTGTGGGGTGGCAGGGGCTATGTACTATCTCTGTGAGAGAGCTTTTGCCAGCAGGTGGAAACCCGCAAAGGTTTGCCTCTTTTTGCTGGCTTTGGAAATCACCTTCACCAGCATGTTCCCTGCTAGGGGAGCACTTCCTCAGCTGTGGCAAGAATTACAGCTCAGGCTGGGACATTGCACTTGATTGACATTGATTTAAATGTGTGTAGGATATCTGTGTGTCTTCAATCACCTCACGGGGAAAAGAAATCAGTTCTGAAAGGACAGCAAACTAAAAATGCAACATCACAAGATTATCAGTGGGACAGACCTTAAATATTACAGCACGTGAAGATCCTACAGCAAAAATCTTGCAAAACTATTGTAATCCATGGACTATGCTGAAAAGAATAAGGTTTTATGTTTCTACCAAGATACACTATATAGAATGGAAGGGCATTTGCAATGTGCTTTACTTGAAAACACCTACGTATTGTTTTGGTCCTCAGCACACTTAAGTATCAGAACTTGCAGAATAACTCAGAGTCATGTACCAGGGAAGGCAAATCCACTGAAAACTAATTCATTTACCCCTATGTAGAACTGAACATGAGTAATTTAATTTTTCCTTACCCCTATGTAGAATTGAACATGAACAATTTAATTTTTCCTTCTTTTTCTTGTCCCAACCACTAAGTGGAAGTGTGAAACTTCTTGCAGGAGAGTTTATTGTTGAGATACCCAATTGACCTTTTAGAAACTTTTAGTCTGCAAAAAGAAAAAGAGTTTAGAGTGCTTGACTAATTGTGAATTTCAGAATTTAGAGGCAAATCTGGCACTTGTTCATTTTGCAATTTAATATGCTGCTCATTTGAATGTCTAGTGACATCCTTTAGTGAGAAGTTTTACAGGGAATACATTAGAGTAAAAATGTGTTAGTCATAAGGACCTATTAGGTGTGTGTATGCTGAGAATGGCCTACAAAGCACTTTATTTCACATTATGGATATGCAATTCTTACTACCTGCTTTTCCGGAGCAAAAAAAATTACACATATACACCTTAAACTATTACAGTGTTTCTAAGATGATTGCGCAGTTAGTGTTAAGCCAATTCTCAAGACGATCATGGAAAGTTCAAGTTCAAAACAGTATTTTTAAGTAATATTTTTTCCCCTTTAAAAGTAAGCATAGGGACTTGTCTAATGAAAATGGAGTTCTATTCCAGAAAATCAAGACCATTCAAACCATATTTTGTCTTTACTGTGTTCTGTTGTATGCAAGTATTGTAGAGAGTGCTCTCATTTGGACCTGCCTAATTTGAGTGCATATTATTGTTGGAAGTTTGAGCAATAACTCCAAAGCATCATTGTTCAATGAAGTTAGTTTAGCCAGTGCTTAGCATAATTTTAATTAATTTCAATGCCTTAGAGGTAGTGTAGAAACAAAAAATTTTCTCGTGTACTTATTTCTATTCTGAAAAGGGACAAAAAAACCAAGCAGTTTTCTGAAATTGGCAGAGTATTTATCTTTCATTTAATGTTGCATTAACATTTTGTTGTCCTTGTGTAACCTCTGGAATTAAAACATTAGCATTTAAACATGTGAACATTTTCTATGTTTCCCCTGTCCCTGCTGGCTATTCCTATTTTAATGATATTCATTTTCGATTGGTATGACAACAGGCCCACACTATTCCCTTAGTACATGCTCTACACCTATAGCAGATCCACAGACTTTTTTCAAAGGAACAATATTCCCTGATGTCATCGTTCTATAAAGTAAAGGAATGGGCGTTCATGAGGGGATAGGAAGAGCTTCAAGTAAGAAATGTATTTCTAAAGGACTTAAAGCTCTGATTGATTACAAGCATGCAGTCAGCCTCATTCACCTCGGATAGTTTTTCCCGGTCTCCCACGATATAGAATCGAGGGGGGTTGCTGGCATTGTATGCATCCCACTTTCCCACCCACTTCCTCTCCCGTCTCACCCCAGCCTTCAGCCGTGCCTTTTCCATAGCAAGGCAGTTGCTATGGGAAGAACCCAGAACTAAATGCTGGGAGCTGCTGGTTAGCTGTAAAGTTGTTCATAAGGAACAGAAGTTACTTTGTTTTGACTGGGCAGTTTTACACCTCAGAGCAAATTGCAACTGCTTTTGACGTAGTTTGTTCTTTCCAGAAAACTAGTGTTCCATACCCCAAAGTTTTAGATGGCAAATCTAACAAAGTTAATTCAATTCTAGTCTTTCTTGGGGTACCTTAAACAGAGTGAAGTTTCTTTGTGTTCCCTTTCTAGATGGGTAAGACAACAAGTTTTTAAAAATGTGGTGGTTCCTAAATGCTAATGTTTGCCAGGTCTGCAATGTAGAAAGATTTTCTTTTTAATCTAAAGGAAAGACAGAACAGACCTCTGAGTACATGGAAATGGAGCATTTCCGTACTAATCCGATTCATCACTTCAATTTGTAAACGAGATCTCCAAACTGTCAGCTGTGTCTTTGTATTTGCAGGAGAAATTTCCTTCATTTATTCAGAGAGCATTGCATGTCATTGTCATTACCACACAGTAGCCCCTCTGGGCTGACTTGAAAAGGTTCACTAAGCATAAAGCGATGGGAGTTCCCACAGAGGTTTCTGTCTTTCTCTTGGAAATGTATAATCAACTACTGGGCTGGATTACAAATTGGGTTGGTGCTTTTTATTCCCTGGTACCAAATTCAGGAGTTCTCCACTCAATATTCTCCTAAATGCTCTAATACAGAATAAATGCAAAATTTTATAAGTGGAAGGTTGTGTTGTTAGTTTCTATTTGAGTTTCTGCCATTAATAATGCAACACTGGATAACCAGTTCACCTGCTTGATTTTGGAAGATTATTTTCTAAAGCTTAAATTGCTGCTGTCACTTTCCTGGGGCAGAGAGAACTTTTCTGCCGGAACTGATGTAACTTTTTGTAGTCTTGGTGGAATTCTGATAATGCGAGCACCAAGAAGTGGTACCACTGAATAAAAATTTCTACTAGAATGGGCTACTAACAACTTTTCTTGGCCACTCCGGGCATCACAAAGTCTCAGAGAAATTATTTTATGTTTACTTTAAACAATATGCATAAAATAAGGCCATCTGTCATACTACCTTTTCCCTTTTAAATTATAAATCTGATTGTTGATTGGTTGGAAACAAATATTTGTAATAAAAGACAAATGGAGAGAAGGATCAAGTGGTTTGAGGAGGAAAGATTAAGAAAACTGTCGTTGTTGTGAAGGTTGAACATAATACCACCTACGCACTTCCAATGGTTTGGTAGCCATGTGATGCCCGTGAAAGAGCCAGTGCTATTCCAGTTTGAAGGGAGAAACCCCCTGTTGCTGGAGTTACTAACCAGGTGGCTGGTTGTCTAGGTTGGCTTCTGGAAGAAGCTGTTTGTCTTTGAAATAATATGGGTTTTTTGGCTTCCAGGAGGAGTTCTGTTACCCAGTGGAATGTCTGGCTCTGACAGTGGAGGAGGTCATGCACATCCGTCAGGTGCTGGTGAAGGCAGAGCTGGAAAAGTACCAGCAATATAAAGATGTCTACACTGCTCTCAAGAAAGGAAAGGTAGGGCTTAGTCTGTGGAGGCTCCAAAGGTTACTGAGGAAGGCCAGTTGCACAAGCTTCCCATTTACACATTTGTTTCTTATCCTGTACTGGAGAGAAAGAAGAGTTATCCAAAACTCCCCCTAAATATGTAACACATGGGTCAGCTGCCTTGAATTATGTGCAGAAACATGAAAACTTTTCATGGAAATACTTTGTTTGTTTAGATTGTCTATAAAAATGCAGTAGCATTTGCAATTATCACAGCGTATCTGTATGTGTCCATTTTAAACTTCATTGACTGAAGTGATTTCTGTCCCCATGCCTTCTGCGGGATTGGTTACAGGTAGCAGTAGGAAACTGCAAGTTCTTCATATATGAATCCTTCCTATTAAGCATAGAGGAAATAAAAGCCTTCAGAGAAGTCAGACGACATGTGACCCCCAGAAGGAAGTTTAATATTAGAGACCTATTCACTAAGGCATTTTTTTCTGTAAACTGCAGATTGGTACTTACCAGTGGAAGCAGCGCCCTTTTCCCCCACTTTTGACTTGTGCTCCTTGAACACCTCCAGCAAGTGTATTTTGACTTTGCTGTGTATTTTACCTACAGGCCTACCTGTCTCTAGTATGCAGATTTCTTTAAAAAATTTAATACATTCAAGGCAGAGGAACAAGAATCTTAGATTCAGCTGTTGCCTATTGTCATGATATATAAAGCTTAGTAATGAGCTTTTATCAAATCTCAAAGTAAGTTGATGGTTTAATTAATTTACCCCTTCATAAATGTATGAAGATAAAATTCTGGACCTTCTTTTCAATATCATCTTAGAAGTATGAACCCCAGAACTGGATGTAGTAGTACAACTGTGATCTTGCTGATAGCAACTGGTACATGAAGTCATCACTGTGTGTGACTTCGCCTAACGTTGTGGATTCCTCTGTTCTTCTTTTAGCTCTGCTTTTGCTGTCGAACGAGAAGGTTTTCTTTCTTTACCTGGTCTTACACTTGTCAGTTCTGTAAGAGGTAAATATTTAATATATGTTAATAAATGGGTACCATTTCAGAGGGAAAATTATTGATTTATACATTAGAAACCCTCAAAAATTTCTGCTGTCTACTGTTGATTGGGTTTATTTCTGTAACAGTCTATATTAAAAAAATCCAAAACTGTGCAAAAATATTTCTTTCCTAAGTGACAGAATTGCTTCCTTGGACTGAAACTTTTGACTGAAAGTGAGGGAAACACTCATTTGTTTTTTATTCTTATGGGAAAGAAGTTGGAATTTACTCAGACTCCCCAGTCAACAGTTCCACAGCCTCTGTTGTTGGGGAAAACATTTCAAGGCAATTTACCTTATGAGTTATTTTTCAAGTATTGGGATGGGGGAAAGGGAGAAGGAATCATTTGCAGGCAGAACTGTAGATTTTTATTTGAACAGTGAGACAATAAGTCAGGAGATCTATGTAGCCACTGAGTTAGTGTCTCACTTACCAAAGGAGGTTTCTTTAGAGGAAAAAGAGCTTATTTTCCTTTTTTTTAAAATTTATTTCTTAATTTAGCTGTATTTCCTGTTTACTGTTTCTTCCTTCTTTTGGCTTCATGTTCTGAATTCAAGTTATTATGTCGAAGAAGCCTTAAAAATGAAAATGTTTGTTTAAGGGGAGGATGGGGGAGGATTTTAACTCCTGAAAACATTTATCTCTTATTCTTGATTTAAATGTAATTTTTCCTAGTAGATTGACTCATACTCTTTCTTTCTTACACAGGCCTGTATGCTCACAGTGTTGCAAAAAAGTAAGTAAGTGAACTTATGGTTAGAGCCTTTCTAAAAAGCTGCAGTCTTTGTAATGATGCTGCATGTTCCTTCTGCTGTTTTCAACAGATGCGGTTGCCATCAAAGCCATACTCTACTCTCCCCATCTTCTCGCTGGGACCTTCAACCTTGCAAAGAGGAGAAAGCTTTATGAGGCCAGAGAAGCCCTCTACCAGTCACCACCATTCACTGCGGAGCAGGTGAGAAACAACCCGAGCTCACTTGTGTCTGTTGCAAATTGCATATGAGGTTATCAATCGTTAAGATGCTGTCTACCTGTTAGGTAGTTGTCAATGTTTCTAATGCTTGTAGTAACTCTTCTGAAGCCTGAAAAGCCAAGTATCTTCTACTTGTTGCTTTAATTTACAGAAATAGCAACACTAACAGTGTCTTCTTAAACGTTTTTCACGTTACAGTTGAAAAATGAGTCTGGGACAACTGTATTTCTGTAGTACCTCTGCAAAAATATCCTTAACATGTGGTGTGAAGGAGATAAATCTCTCAGGCTAGAATCATGCACTGAATGGGAATTCAGTGATGTCTTGTGCACAGATTTATGTTTTTTCTAATTTTTATAATTCAAATTTTCATAATTTTTTTCACTTTGATATTATCAAATTATCTGTTGGTTTTATGTCTTATACACAGATGGTTGTCAAAGCTAATCCAAGAAATTAAATATGAAAGAAATGCTCCTTTTTGAGGGAACCTAATGGACAAACCCTCTGCAATAATCACCAGTGCTAAGATGCTGTGTAGATTAGCCAAAAACATTATGTGTTTTTAGTTATTAGTAAAGTTGGTTTTGACAGGTTGTAAACATTACACATGCCCTGCAGTGTTGCCAATTCAGGCAGAAGCTGTCCTCTCCAGTATTTGGTCTCCTGGTGTCATTTTTGGGACAGGAGAAAGGAAAATTTAAATCCAGACCTTTCTGATGTGCTAAAATGAATAAAATGACAGATCCTGCTCTTTTGCCTTTCAGGTTGACCTCAAGGTCCAAGTCTGTGGATAAGTCACATGAAGAGTTTCCCAAAGAATTAATGGAGGACTGGAGCACAATGGAGGTTTGCGTGGACTGCAAGAAGTTTATTTCAGAAATCATCAATTCAAGCCGGCGCAGCCTATCTCTGGCCAACAAGCGAGCCAGATTAAAAAGGAAAACGCAGTCCTTCTACATGTCGTCCCCGGGAACCTCCGAATACTGCCCCTCCGAAAGGACTATCAATGAGATCTGAGCCGTGTGCCTTTTTCTTTGCTTTTGTCTTCATGAGGTCATCATCCATGGGCAAGGTCACTGAAAACGGATTATCAATTCCCTTGCTTTGTTTCACTCAACTGGCTTGGATTTGCATTAGGTCACAGGATTTCCTACTCCAGCGGTTCCCGGAGACACAGGACGCTATGTTTAGATCTGTGCAGAGTGATGCAATGGGTCAGCTGCTCTCACTGGAAGAAAATCAATAGTTTGAAATTGTTGCCTCTTTTGTACGTGTGCGTCGAAACTAGAAAGCCTTTTCTTGCTTTCAATCTTTTTTTAACCATGCTTTGAATCATTTTTCAGGAGATGAGATGAAAACGTGTGTTTAGTGGGGAACCAAACCTAACCAAGTGTCGGTGTTAGCACAGTAGCAAACAGTAAGTCACACGGGTGCTACCACCCTCGTGCTCACGTCCTATTTGAAACAGTGGAGGGTTGTATCGCACACCAGACACTGAGTCTGAGCGGCTCTGGGTAAAACCATCTTCCTTGGAACCGTTTCAGTTGCTCTGAGATCAGGGTTCAGCACAGGGCTCTACAATGTCTGTGTCCTGGGGCAAAGCAGACGACAAAGCTGTTCACCCGTATGGTTGGCCATACCCCCGAGCTGCTGTACTTTTTAAGCCTTAGTGTACTTCTAAGTGTCTCCTGAGCAGGTTTTAGTAGTTTACTTTCTATCTTGAATGTATGATAATGACTACTAGTAGCAGTGAATTTTAGTAGTAGAGAGAGTTGTACAGTTTATGAGGAGGACGGGAAATAAGGGAGGCTTCTAATTTTAACTGCATACCTGTAAAGTTGTTCTAGTGGTTACTCAGAGAAAACAGTGAGTAAGGTGTAAATTTGTATTATAATGGAGCACACAGATACTGCTATAGTTCTCTCTGACAGCATATCCACTAGTAACCCCATTTTTTCTGGGGTTTATGACTTGGCTGTAAAAATTCATGTTCTGCTGAAATTTGGGACAGTGCTGTCTCAGATTGGGAGCGACCTCTTTTTTCCTTTAATCTTTTCTTTTTCATTCTTTTCCCCTTTCTAATTCACTCACAAAACAGTGCTAGACTAGTTGTTTAGAAGTTCCAACGATGTTACATCAACTGACATCTTGTGCTTTTTTGTACTTTTTTTTATATTCAAATTACTTTTTTTTTTTTTAATTCAGGTATAGCCAGGGTTTAGTCAATAATTTGGGGCCAGAGCTTTTTGGTATTTAAAACAAGCTAACATAGCCAAGTTATTAATACTTGAAAATCAACTACTGTAACTTTTTCATAAATTTTTAATACCCTGGGGCATATTTAATATCTATATAGCAGTGTATTATAGAATGACATAGCAGCAAAGCGTCAGATCTATTTATTAACATTTCTATACTTCAGATTAATGAGAGATACCTCAGAACTGCTCCAAAGTAGCTGGGACTATATTTCTATAACATGATTTTAAAAATGTATTGATCAAAACAGATTCCCCTGTCCACAAAGCCCAAGAGGCAGACTGCCTCTCCAGCCCTGGCAAGGCACAGTGCTGAGGTTGGGAGGCAGCAGGGCTGGTCGGCTCCAGTGTGGTAGCTGGGCTGCCACCCCACTGCGGGAGCCTCCTGCTGCCCAGGGGAGCAAGGCTTCCCCTTCGGAGTCTCTGTGCATGTCACATTGCAGCCTTAGGAGCAGCCAGCCATGTCATCTCTTTTAAGCTGATTTGAAAAGCACATGCTCTGTAAACCTTCCCAGGGACTCTTCCATGCCTATTTTTCGTTAAACACCCCCTTGGAAAATGAGAATTTTTGCATATGCAGGACTTATTGGAATAGTTTCTAATTTTTTCTGAACCAATGCAAACAGGAAAAGCAGGGCTCAGTGCTAACTCTCCCTCATAGCTGTCCCATGTAAAGTCAGGTGTCATGTCCCTCTCCTCGGGATACCTCTGGAAAAATGTCTTGCATGTTAAAGCACCTAGAGTACTGGCATGAGATAAGTATGTAGGATTGCAGAAGGTGAGCAGCAGAGATGGGCTGATGGAAAGGTTCTGCTGTTGCTTGAAGGGTCTCCTGTCTTCAGTCACATCAGCACTTTTTCTTGTTTCTGTGCCAAAACCAGGCAGTGTGTTGGCTGCACAGTGCATCAGGGAAACTAGACTGAAAGAAATGCAGGAAATCTCACTTTGTATCTACCCTGTTGTTGTTGTCATAATTTTCTCATGGAAATCCCCTGGCCACCGTCACTCAGACCTCTGCTCACAGTCCTCTTCTCTGCTGTCCTCAAGCCACTGAGGTGCAGAGTATCCACCATGTTTATCTTCCTCTTTGAGAGGAATTTAGGATGTTGTAGAGCAGGCAAGATGAAGGACTAAGTAAATCCTGAGTGTGCAAAGGGAAATGAGTCCTTCATGCCCGTGCCCCCCTCCACCTTGGCAGTGTTCAGGGGTGGCTCTGGGGCAGCAGCAGAGCCTTGCAATTGTGCCTTTCCGGGCTGCCCAGCAGTCCTTGGCTCAGGCTGGGCTCAGCTATGCTGGGCAGGGCATAGACACTGAACAACAACACAGTGGTTGTACAAACTGCTCCCTGTTGCTCACACAGTGCTGCCATGCCTGGATAACCTCCCTTTTTCCCTGGAAAAAACCCTCCAGGCTGCTGACACACTCTGTGGCAGACTCCAGAAAACATGGTGTGGAGGGCTGCCTCTCCCCTTGCCTCCCATCCCTTCCTCCCTGGCACAATTGCCTGCATTATCCCGGCATTTCGTTCCACAAAAGGAAAAGCAGCGGGTTGGTTTGTCACACAAAGCCTGAAAGAGCTCAGCTCGCTGGTTGCCTGGCTCTGCGGAGTGGGCTATTTTTAGCTTTCCATCTCGCTGCTTGCGCGAGCATCCCAAATCTACTGCAGCCATTTGCCTGCACACCCCGCGGTCCTGCCCAGCATGTCCTACTTATGGTCTGAACTTCTCAGTAGCATCAGAAGATGAAACCAGAAGCTTGTAAATATCTGTAATATATTTATTAATATTTAGGAAGTCTCCATCAATCATGCAGTGGGAATTGACTTTCCTATGTTGTTTTAAAAAAGGAAATGAGTCTTATTTATATGTGTGTTGGCTGTTATCTTTTATTAGTTGATGCTTTCAGCCCCCTAATGCAGTTTGCACTCAAGAGGCATCCTAGAGTGAATTACTGCTGAAAAGAATGCAGAACTAGCACAGTGAGCTCCCTTCCATGAATTTTTAAATTATTTTCTTTTTTTTTAGCTTTATTAGTATGCCCAAGGTTTGTTTAAATATGTCATAGGAGACCCAAGGAGCTAAAAATGCCCCTGGCAGCATCGGTCTTGTTTTGTATGGGAACCTGGTTGTGGGGAATGCAAAACCAGCTCTGCCTCACGGAGGCGATGGAGGACGTGAGCAGGCCTTTGCTGCAGCTCTCAGACCTGATCTTTCAAGTGTTCATGGTGAAAGTAGTGTTTTGGGAGGTTGTTGTGTTTTTTTCTCTTTCCCCATTACTTCCTTTATACATGGAGGAGTGTTACCTGGTGAAAATAAAATGCCTTTCCATTATAACCTTTGTCTGTGTTAATTATTCATGTGGAAGCTGATTTAAAGGTTCTGTCTCTCTCTTTTTCACGCTTTTATAATTTTGTAAGATCAGTCATGTTTCTTCTGGCAAAGAATTGTTAATGAAAATGATTGCATAACAGCTGAACACTGGCTGGGCTGCATGAAGGGATGGAAACATGTCAAGTACCCTTAGAATAGCAATAAAACTGCTTGTGTAACCCCAGTGATGTGATTTAGCTCCTAGTCATCATTTCCAGCCAAATCCCTCTGTTACCAATGTGCTGCTTCTTCCAACACTGGCAGGCTGTACCTGAGGCAGCGTGCTTGTCCTGCATGTGGTACAGGCTTTGGGAGATCTCCATCCCTCCCTCCTCATTGGGAGAGAAATGGTGGCAGTCTTTTGGAGGAGTTTTTGATGGATTGGTTTTAGCTTTTAAACCAGAAGTGGAGACATTTTTATCACAACTATTACATTGTTCTCTCCCAAGCTCCCCTCTTTCCCCAGGCAAGTTCAGCATCAATCCCCTGGTTAGTTACTGGCTGCATGCTCTATAGGTTAAAACTAATTTAGAAGCTCCAGCTTTAAGCTCCTGATTGCTACCTTCATGCTTTACCTCATCTAGCAGCTCTGTACACCATTTAGGAATGTCTTTCTTACAAGCTCAGTCTCATCTGTGAAACAGTGACAGCACACAGGCATGAGGGAACGGTGCTGCAACTGGTGCTACAGCATATAGATTATGTTCATGTTATCAGAAAATTTTATACTATCGCCATGTTCATAACTTGGAGCTGCTCTGGTTTATTTCCTCTTTTGTATGTGTGTACATTAAGCCAAATCTGAGAATGTTTATGAATAATGATTCCAGCTATAAAAACCTCTATTGTTGTTTCTGTCTGATTTTTACTACTGTGTTTCAGCTTTTTTTTTTTGGGGGGGTACCTGAAATTACTATTCACAGGAAATTTCCTGGTTGGAGAACCATGACAGAGGGGCATTGGCTCAGCCTGACGTGATACACAGACACAGAAACCCCTTCCTGGTAAGCGGCCTTTCATGAGCACTTCTTTCACGGCAGCTCCATTGAATCCTGCTCCCCAGTCCCCTCCTGCTGGGAGCTGAGCAGCACCCATGAATTCCAGCAGCCCATGACAGAGGCAGCTTGTGGCCCTCCCTGTGCCCTGCCTTTGACGTTGAAAAATCCCTGTTGACCTGGCACAAGCTGTTAGCTTGTCCATGAGCCATGTCCCTGGGTCCCCATCTGCAAAAACAGGGACTTCAGAGTGGCTACAACTGTTTAAAGAATTTTGAGAGCTGCTGCTGAAGAGCTGAGTGTTCAGTGTCAGAGCTGAAAGGGTCCTGCAGTGCTTTTACTACTTGAAAACCATTAGCACCACTTCCAGGTGAAAGGAATTCCAGAGATTTGAAACTTCATAAGCAAAGACTTGTGAATGAATTTGACCATGGTAGATCTGCACTCAACAAATGTCATGGGGCATAATCAGGAGATGGAGCTAAATAGGTATCAAGTAGATACGGCAAATTTTACACAGCAGTAGCTTAGTTTGTTTATTTGCACTAAACTAGAATTCAGTAACTTTCCAGTTTCTTCTCAGGTTGGGCTGTTTTGCAGCAGCAGTGCCTGGCTGAACTGAGTGTCAGATATGCAGGTGTTCTGGGCTCTGCGTCCTGAAGTAACAATTGTTTGTTGAGATGGTTTCTGTAGAATATTTCTAGAGGAAGCCCTTTGGAACAGACTCTTTGGAATAGACCTTACTATAGCTAATTAAAAAACACATTTGTAAGCAGATAGACTTCCAAGGTGCCAGGCTACTACTGTCAGCTCACAGCTGAAAAAGACCTGTTTGATTATTGACATTCAATTAAAACAAAAAGTGCATCCAGTATGAAAAAAAAAAACATAATCTTCATGCCTCCCATGCTGTAACATTTCCACAAAGCTTCAGGTCCTCCCTGCATTTCTCTAACCAGTCACATCAGTGCTTAACAGTGGGAACGAGCAATGCTTTGGCTTTTGCAGGACAGGCTGTAGGCCAGACATTGAAATGTGGGATTGTTAAACTGGATTTCAGAGGCTGCTAAATCTAGAATTAAAGGACATGGGCATGAGTTGATGCAACTTCTGCAGGAGGCTGGCTTCCACAGTTCAGTGGAAATGAGCACCAGTTAAGCTGACACAGGTCTATAGAGAGGCAGCCAAGGCCCAGCTTCAGCTTAGACATTTAAGATGAGCATGTTTCTATTGAAGGGGCTGGTGGTTATATTACCTGTGAATCAGAAAGCAAAACAAAGATAGTGAGGAGTGTATTTGAGCTTTATGCTGTTAAAGCTGGTTCCCCCTCCCCAATGCCCTTCTTTAATAAAGGAAAACCCAAACAGGAGATGCACTTTTTGGACATGAACAGGCCCAAAGCACAAACCCTTCCCCTTTGAACTTCTCCTGCTTCTGTGCTGTCACTGTGCATGTACTGTCTGTGTGGCTTCAGGTACATCTGGGGCATCAGCTCTAACAGAGAAAGGCAACAGAATTGTCTTCTTGTTTTCATGTTATGTGGTACTGAAATGCAATTTCTTGTTTATGCATTACTAATAAAAAGCTCTTGGATATTACTGCATTACTCTCACTTTCTTGAGCAAACTGTAAATTTAATGAGCATCATTTCTTACAGAGCACAGCTGGCAAGGGCATGTTCCACATTTGTTTGGCCAGGTAGAGCCCTGAACCTCAGCTGCTGCAGATCTTAACTAGGTCAGAGAAAAAAATTATAGTGGAGTAAAACGGAAGGTATTGTACCAGCAGGACCCCAGATTAGGACCCCTTCTGATCACTTCACCTCCAGGTGCCTTCCAGTTAAGTGAGAATCATATATCAATCACCTCAGCTGTGGAAAAATTAAAAGGACAGGACTTGTGCTTCACAAAAATGCCTTTTCAATGGACGAATCCATAGTGAACGCATGACCTGCTTCATGGAGCTGCGATTAAAAGATTTAGCCTATAACCTGCATGATCCTGACAGGTGGCGAGTAGTGTTGGTGGGGTAAGAAGATGGTTTATTAGATAAATAAGGTCTTATTTACAAGTCAAGGCTAATAGTTTTAGATTACTCTTTGCTGCTTTAATGCAAAATGAAGCAGCTGCCAGTCCCAGATTGAGTTACCAGTCCACAACCAGAGGACCCCTGCAGAGCTTTTGTGATGTGTGACTTATTACAGCAAGCTTCAGGGAGCCTGGTACTGGGTCCTGCTGCTTACCCAGCATGGACTAATGCAAATGATTTTTCTGCAGCCTTCTCTGAAAAGCAACAGCCAATTTTATATTAAAATAGTTACACCCAGAAGTGTTTTTTTAAACTGCGCATGTCATTTACTTCAGATAGCACCATAGCGTACATACACACTTCACAGTCCTGCCCTTCATGGCTCACAATCTAGGAAGGTGCAGTAGGAAGGGTGTTACCTACCCACTGCTCCACCTGAAGATTTGAATGCAAAGTGTCACATCAAGGAATGTCAATGGCCATACTCAGCACTACTTAATTATGTTGTCAGATACATCAATGCCCAGTATGTGCTATACTACAATTCCTGACATACACCTCCTGCTGCAGATCAGTGCCTTTGCTTAAGTTAGGCAAGTCCTTCAAGAACACACAAGTTTCACTGGGATTGCCTGTTGTCTCAGCAAATATGACCCTTCCCCCATCGCGCCTGCTGACCTGATGAGGGAAAAGAAGTAAGACGCATGGAGAAGCATGGAAGATTCCCACTGGCACAAGGGCAAATCAAGGAAAAGATTAAAAGGATAGTTTACACAAAATCAATAAATTACACACCAGACCATTTGACTACACTGTTTTAAGTTAGTGCCTTTTGTTGTACACACAAGCCTGTCTACGCTATAGCATGAAAACCATCAACCAGAAACCAGAGTTCACCTCGAGTTTGGTATCTTCAACATCTTAAAACCCTTCAGAGCCAAGAGCTAACATGCCCAGTTTGCCACATTCTGGGAACCACCACTGCCTCAGGAACCAGCTCTCCCCAGCTTCTTGCTTCCACAGCAGGCATGTGCAACACAGCTACAGGTACTGGGCAGGGGGAGCAGCCACATTTCCAACCAGTCTGAAGACCTGATATGCCACCACTAAATTCTTAAACCACCCCCTGCATCACAACCCTCTATACTCCCCCTTTCCCTTGAATTGCAATCCAGTGGCTGAGAAACATTGAACTGCCAGTCTCAGCTTGAACCACAGCAAACAACCTCCCTCTCCCAACTCACAAAGCTGAACTTTAATTCTACTTTCAACTCCCCAAGTGCAGAATTCTTATTCAAAGTGGCACTTGTTACTATTAATCAGCATGGTTATAAGCACTGAGCTTTCTGCTTGGTCCCCAGCACCTCAAGATCCTTCCAAGTTAATGAGTGTTGACTTCACACCATTTCTGCTTGATACATTTTTTTCCTCCTGCGTGCCCTTTTCCTCCTGCATCAATCCCAAAAGCCACAACCCCTGCTCCCCACAAGCAGCCTAGCACTTTCCCTCACATGCAGCTTTCCACCTTTGACAGACACCTCAGTCAATGCACATGACAAAAAACTGATTTCAGATATATTTTTTAGCCATTTCCAGTGTAGAAAGAAAAGTTGGAGGAGTTTCTCTAAGGAACCACAAAGATAAACAATTCCAAAGGCAGGGTGGTTTTTTTGCCTCAAGGGTCAACTTGGACTATAACAGTCTAAGAACTTGAGTGGGAATTGAAGTGCTGCAAAAACAGTGTTAAGCACAGCATACACAGCTACAGATCCCACCAGATCCCATGGAGAAGAGTCACATGGTCAAGGTAGAAGAAGGTTTGGAGCCTCATATGCAAATCAGATGGACAGAGAGCAGAAGGGTGAAACTGTCCAGGAAATCTTACTGAAAATTAAGAACCACTTGATCTGCTAAGCACTGGAGCCCACCTGGTCCCACTGTGACCTCTGCTGCAAGGTCCCTTGTACACAATGAGCAACCACAGGAAGAACAATAATCCCACAGATGCATAAGTGTCACACCTACTCCTAAGACAAGGTAAGAGGCAGCAGCACTGTCTGGCAGTGGAGAGAGGCAGCTGGATGACACAACTGGCCTCCAGAAAAAATTAGTCTTTTTTCCTACCCAAAGCTTCCCCACTACCATTCTACCATTTAGCCAAGAGAAAAGCAGAAGAGGACTGAGCACAAGCAGGAAAGGTGCTGATTCCTGGCAAGTGGAGCAGCAGACAGATTGGAAAACCGAGTGTCTAGGCATACAGCTCCTAAATGGGACAAAACGTGGAGCGAAAGCAGAAAGTAATCCAGAAAACTGATGTGTAACTGGTATTGACCCTATAGTGTGGCAGAGAAATTCAGACCCAGAGAGAGCCTGTGGTGACTTTTCTGGGAAGCCACCTGGTGCTGGAAGGTGCTAAACACAAGTCAGTCACCCTTAAGACAATACCAAGCAAATATTTCACTTCTGATGCAAAAAGCAGCTCTAGGCAACTCTTCTTCCAAACCAAAGCAATACATGAACCTCTCCAAACACCTTCCTACCCCTGCTGACAGTCATGTTTTCATCACCTCCAGGAGGCATGTACAGAAATGCTGCAGCGCAGGTTTCCAAGGACACACAAACTTACTCAATTTTTCCTTTTCTTTTTTTTTGCAGAGCTCTGCCATGGCTGCACTCCCCTTCCTAGCAGAACACCACCAGGAGCTAGAACATCTTCTGTGTTCCTTATCCAGGAAGTGGCATCACTCCTCTGAGAAGGGGACAACAACTGACCTGCACCAAAGCTATCCAGTGTATCTTCCAGAAATGGGCTGCTATCAG